GACGACATGCAACTGCCCCAGACAGCGGCTGGAGGCATCCAACACCGAATTTGCATTTCAAGCAGGCCGCGATTTATGACCAGGACCGCAAGAGCGCCTGTGACGAATCCAATTATGAGGCGCGCCAGCTGCCAACTGTCCAATGAGCCATGTGCCGGGTGCCGGGTGCCATGTGCCATGTGCCTGATCCGATAATGCGCCATCAAATGGCCATAAATAAAATGCACAATGCGGATTAAGCGTTTTGTTAACGGATTTATATTGAGCTGAGTTATGAGGCCACCAAGCGGTGAGCCAAAAAATTCCCAAAAACGAGACGCGTTGGCAGCTTTAATGAGATGCATAAATTGATAATGATCAATGTAATTAGTTAGTTAACAGGGATGAGCATCAAGACAAGTCGTATAAGCAGTATAGACAAAAACTAGCTGGCCCTAAATAGAAGGTAATAGGCGGCAAGAGACTGAGATACCCTAGAAAGACAAGGGCAAGGATTTATTGAACTTGAACCCATGTAGAGTGTATGTAGAATGTAGAAGAACTTTCAAAATTAGTTTTAAGTCGATCAGCTGAAAATCAAAGTGTTTTTCACCCATATTCCACCTTTGCGGGTGGAAATTAAGAAAAATTCTCTTTAGCCTTCAATAAGTTGACTACACATAAAAATTGGACTAACCTACGTTCGTTCGACTTAAGCTATGTCTCGATTCCCAATTAGTCAGTCAGTCACTCAATCAATTAGTTAATCAGAACATATAGCTGTATGTAAAATATTCTACAAGTTACATAGTCTCTGGTTCTTATAGATGGATGGCATTAATGCGATTATACAGACAGATGAGCATTCAGGCTGAGCAAGTTTAATTAAGCTGATCTATAATTGATATTTTCTATAGGATTTGATATGGCTGCCACTACTACAGCAATGTCTTACATAATTGTAGGGCAGAATTTTAATGCCAAAGCAGTTTCATAAAGTGTTTTATCAAATATTTTGTTGTATTTTGATTGCTTCAACGACTGAGTGAGCTTGAGGTCTGCTGCAGCACATGGAAAATGGAAGGGCCGATTGTGGATTCTATGAAAACTTCCAATAAGCAAAGTGAAGCAATACGCAAAAGTTTTTATAAAATTGTGCCACGAAATCCAAATTGAAATCTTTATCAAACTTCAGCTGTTTTTTTCTTCTTTCGAATTGCGTATTTGGCCAACGTCAAAAGTTGTCCCTGGACTATTTGGTGCTGTCAATTCCGAGACGCGGCAGAGCTATTGACCGAATGTGTGCTCTGGACTTTTTCGGGGGGTGTGCTCGCATAATGTCTGAGCGAAATTACAGCCACCGAAATATGCGGCAAGTGCAGCCATGTGATAAAAACTTAACTTGCAGTTGCCCGCGGGCCACGCAAACCCAAATTGAGGCAGCGCCGCTGCTGAAGAAGCCGCTGCCACTGCCAAGGAGCCGTTCAAGGATCATCCTCGTCAGCGGCAGACGTGAACGTGTCGATCGTCAGCGGCGGCGACAGCAGCCACAAAAAAAAAAAAAAAACAACTAAGGAGAAAAGACTCCAACTAAATTGACGAGTGGCAGCCGCGTGCTGAGCGCCCATTACGTGGCCCCAGTCCCAGTCCCAGTCCCGACCCCAAAACCGTGGGCTGAGCCTCGGCGCAGGGAGGCGGGCAACGACTTTTGGCTGAGCGTCGAATTAAGCAAATTACGGTGCTCGGCGATCGGCGTTCGGCGATCGTCGATCGCTGCTCCAGCTCCAGCTTCAGCATCCACTTGAAAGTTCATTGCTTGGTGGCTCGCGTTCTGCCCAAGAAATGAGTTTTGGCGGCAGCAATTTGCCTTAATGCCAAGGATTAAGATGGCTCCAATGGGGCCGGATGCCAAGCTGCAAACTGTTGACTCTTTTTTTTTCTTCGGTTTTTGTCCACCCAACGACTCTTTAAATTTGCGCATGTAAATTTGTGTGCGTCGTACATAAAACTGCCGTCACTTGCTTGGGGTATCTGAGTTTTGAGAGCAGCTTGAGAGTTAAAAGTAAAGCAATTTGATTGTAGCCTTGGCTTCTCTGGTGTTAACCCAAACTAAAACTATTAGTGACTACATAAGAAATTATATGTAAAGATCGTTCCTGAAGAAGAAGTATAGGACCCAAATTTATGAATCTTTTAAACTCTACAACTAAAAATATGATAGGAATGAAAAAACCTGCTTCCAAATCTTTTTTAGGCAGTCCTTATAGATTGTGAGGATCGCTAAAGACAAGGTACAGAAATTTAAGCTTGGAATTGGATCAACTTACCATGCCGATTAAAAAGTTATCCTGCTTGTAAATTTAAATGTTACTTTATATGTTTTTCAACTTCTTTTCCATTGTCTTATATGTGATGGGCAAACTTTCCATGCTGATTTGAGTATGATGATCTTCTTTGTAAACTTGCTTGTAAATTTAAAGGTTACTTTATACTCCTTATCTATTCTTTTATTAGTGTATCTCTCTCGTCTCTATCGTTTCTCTCTTTCTCTCTCTTTCTCTTTCTACCACTCTGTTTAATTGAACTGGCACTTCCTTGAAAGGGCATCTGCTGTTCAGTAAAATTGTCCTGCTAAATATCTTCTGCTCCCGCTTGCTACTCACTTGTTTTTTGCTGGCTCTCACATTTGTGCGCCGGCTGAAATATTTTTTGAATGCAGATTTTTCACTTAAAATTATTTCAATTACGCGAAGTGCACTGAGTCCAAGTCCAAGTCCAAGACCGAGGCCGCAACCGAGACGAGATGAGATGAGAGCCAAGTGCAAGAGCAAGACCAATGCTGATTCGTAGCATTTTTTTTCTTGGTTGTCTTTCTGTTTTGTTGTTTTTGTCGTCATTTGGCAGCTGCTGCCGCCGCTTCAATTGTCGTTGTCATCCGCGGCCTCGGTCGACTTGCACGGCTGCAAGTAGATTAAATGCCACAACGCTTTTCGTCTGGGCCCAGAACCGCAAACAGACAAACTTGGTCAATTATTTTCAACGGCGAACACAAATTATTGATGCAGTCGGCGGTGGCAGTTGCAGCAGCCAGTGAAAGCAACCACGAGGAGATGGTGGAGATGAACGAGGCAACTGGCATATGTGGTCTACCCGGGCAACGCTGCTCGAGAGCCTCATCAATCTGAAAGACAATGTCAAGACAATGGCCAGGACGCGCCACCGCAAAGGTCTTCATTAAATTAGTGAAATGAGCACGTAGCTGCAGTTGGAACCGAGGATGAGCATGTGGATCAGTATGTGGCTCAGCCTCTGCCTGCCACAGCATTTAATGTCACAAATATTTTGTTGTCAAATGTCGCCCGGTTCTGGTACTCGCGACTGGCACTGGCACTGGTCGTGGCTGTCAACGTAACCAGAACCAGCTCACCTGGTGATGACTTAACGAGGATTTAAACGTGCCCAGCCAGCCAGGCAGCTATTGCCCAGCTTCTCGTGGTCGTGTTGCAAGTTGCAAGCTGCTGGATGCTGGATGCAAGCTGCACAGGTTGCATATAAAAATCGCATTCAGTTTGCTAAATTGGCTCCGCTTGCTGGTGGGTCGATTGGGGGATTGAACCATCAATGTCTCGTCAAAGTTGCGCTCCTTATGCCCGGCAGGGGGGTAGGAGGGTTGGAAGTGGAGGGCGACTATGTAGGGAGTTGATATTGTGGTAGCAGTAGCTGAAATCGAATGCGGCACCAAATTGCAGCAACGAGTTATTAAATTTCAGCGCAAACACGGTCAGAAGCGTTTACAATTTCGGTGTCTGCGCTTGAATACCCTAGGCTAAGAATAGGGAGGTAACAATTATGTGTGTTAAATGAGACAAGTTTGAAGTTGTTTTAAGATTAGAGATTAATCATAATACTTAATGTATAATACTTATTTTGTGTATTCTACAGGGTAGCTGCTCTTCTAGCACTCTTTAACTTCCATACTTAATGCTTATTTCTATTCATGATAATTGATCATAACCCACATTCTTAATGCTCTTTCGGCAATCCTGACATACTTTTAGTTATCTTTAATCAGTTTCATAAATATTTCTATTTAGCTATAATATTCCATAGGGTATCTGCTCTTTCAGCATTCTTATGCTTTCACACGCTCTCAGCATTCACATCAGCTGATGTCCATCAATATTTCTACAGGGTAGCTGGTCTGCCATCACTCTTTAACATACGTTTTAGCTGTGCAAACTGCGACACGAAACCGAAAACCAAAACAAAAGTCAACCGCTGCCTCAGTTCCTTCCCCCGCAACCCCCCCAAACCGAGCGAATTGGGCCCTGGTGCCTAATTAGGCCAATTCTCGATGAGGCAACAAACAAAATCGAGCGGCTAATTTTTTGTTTGTTATTTACTTTTCGTTTGCCAATTGTGAATTGCATTTTGTTGTCGTTGTTGTTGCTACGGGCTGGCACATGCTGAATAGCACCTGCCCCATTCCCATTCCCATTCCCACCCGCCACAAAGCACTTACCTATTCATATTGTACTCATAAATTGGGCAACAAAACTCAGAGTGAATCCGGCCAGAAGTCATGTGATGTCATAATTTGCTTGCTTTCTTGCCACAAGATCAATAATTGAATCCATTCTGTTTATATAGTAATATTCCAATAATTGGCAAATATTATAAACTCGTATATTTATAAAAATAAAAACTGTTACTATGCTGCGCTATCGAGGCCAAGTGCCTTTGTTTTAGATATTAACTATATATTATATTAATAAATTATCATATAATATCTATCTATTTGACATTATTGTGATAAATAGATATGATATAATAAATTATGATAATATTATATAACTTTTTAGGCAATTATTGTGCATTTGTTCAAATCAATGCAATGCAATAAACTTTCGCATATATTTTGCAAAGCCATTCATATAAATTATTTTTGGCAAATCCAGACGCATTACCCATGCTTCCAGCCATTGAAAAACGCAACCATTTGATATGTTTATAAGTAGAATTTATTGTAGATTTTTGATGTGTTTATTGAATGCCCAAATTAACATTTGAAAACAGAATTTTCAGTTAGTTGTGGCCTAGCTAAAACTGATTTGACAGTTCATATTTGATGTCTAGGTTGCATCTGCTATAGGAATATTTATATAGGATGCATAGCACTAAATAGGATGTTGTCTGTTGTCTTAAGCGGCATTATTCGAAGTGTTTATCAAAGTCTCTGGAGTGAGCCACGCTCGTTTAGCAATTGAATTCGCTTGGACTCCTTTTTGGCATTTACATAAGATAATTGTTAGCTCGTTCGTCTTCGTCTTCATCTGGTTCTTTGAGCGCACTTGGAAGGGTTCAGTTGACGCCCGAACCAAGTTCCTTTTCCTTTTTGATTTGAGCACATTGTCCTGGAATGCATTACAAGCTAATGACTAGTCTATTATTCAGATATGAGTATATAGTTTAGAGCCTGACTGGGTTCTCAGTCTTTGGTTCTAGCTGTGCAGCTCTCAACGTTCCATGCCCAGATCGTGCAGCAGATGCTGTTTGATTACCTCGCCCTCCTGCTCGGCCAGCAGCTGGGCGGTCACCGTGTTGATCAGATTGAAGGCCAAGGCAAATCCGCTAAAGGTTGTCCAAGCGCCAAGCGCCAGCCAGCGCAGCAGCCTCGGACGCAGACTGCCGTCCAGCTGCCGGAGCAGGCACAAACCCACGCTGAGTCCAGCCAGGGCGCCCGTCATGTGCGCTATGTAGGAGACGGAGATGGTGGGCGGCAACTCCACCAAGGCCAGTTGCCGGCAGTACAGCGTGTAGGCCAGATCGCAGGAGACTACAGAGAAGCGTCATAGTGACCAGTGCCAGGCAATTAGCTGAAGCAGGCAGAGTACTCACCAAAGGTGACAACCGCCAGCAGCTGGGCGAGTCCCTGGCGCATGTGACCAAAATTGAGCAACACATTGGCCAACTGGGCCGCCAGCAGAGCATAGACGCCGCCGCTGGCGCCCACCAGATACACCGTGGAGTCGACCACGCTGGTGCCCAGCGAGCCGGCCAGCACACCCGCCACATAGACAACGGCCGTGCGTCCCGAGCCGTGCAGTAGCTCCAGCGGCAGGCCATACAGCAGCTGGGTGAGCACATTGAAGCCCAAATGGAGCCAGCTGGCGTGCAGTAAGGCGTAGGAGACGAAGCGCCACAGCTGCAAGCGTCGATCCGGTCGATAGATGAGCAGCGAATCCTCCGGCGGTGCAGAGCCTCCAAACACAAAGACAAGGATCTGCGGAATGATGCAAGTGGATTTAGGCCAGTTTATTGATTGAAGCTACCATTTCCGATTTCAATTTCGATTTAAGATTCGATCTAAAAAGGTTTAGCTGGCAAGTCTAGTCAAACCCTCTCCATTAAGTGCTTTCGGCCGGAGGTGGGCGGCACTAGAGCCACATCACAATGTAAGCCCTTTGTTTTTCAAGCCCCTCAACGGCGCCAAGAAGAGCCAGGAAAAACTAAAGCAAAAGCTAAATCAAAAGGGAAGGAATTTCCTAGACACGCCGAAGATGGAATACCCTTGTAAACATGGGGCTTATAACAAGGAATAACTTGCAATTTTTCTATTAAATGCGGTTTGATACGGCTTTGCAAATATCTGAGCAGGGAGAAGCTCGTGTTAGCTGAGTTGATTAAGATATCTTGAGAATAAGAGAGTTCTTCATACAAGAACTTGGTTCTTCTGTCTATCTGATCGATTCATATGGCAACTATATAAGATAGTGGCCTGATCCGATTCCAAAATCTGTCCTGCTTGGAACAAAAATGCCGACCTATGTCAAGACAATAGCTTGAACATTGAGAGATTGGAAAGACAAACTTTGGACCATATGCACTACCATTGTAAAATCGTCTGCTTCTAAGCTTCACACATTTCATGACAAAATGAAAATACCCTCTGGAAGGGCATTAAAGGAAAAAGGAAAAGCCAAGCAAAGCAACCCTCAGGCCGAAAAGCGAGCTGCAACCGAAGCAAGCCGAGAAACTGAACGAGACTGGCAGCAGACAGCGGCGAGACGTCGCCAATGCCGGCATGGCAAATTTCATGCGCCTTTCATGCCACTTGCCACTTGCCACACATTCCTCCCCCGACCCCCCTCTTTGTGGCTGGCGGCGTCCAGTCTGCAAACCCAGACACTAATACAGACGCACAGAGTGTTGGATTTTCGCACGCACTACCCAATGTTGGACAGCTCGGCGGTCTCCTGTTTCAGTTGATATATCCTTTAACCGGAAGCCAAATGCCATTTGCAAATACGTCGCCTGCCGCTTGCCGCTTGCCACTCGCATTGTGGCCAGCCGGCAATTTATTTGCCACAGAATTCCTCGATACGAGGCCAGCTCACGTGTGTGGCAGCTTTGGCTGGCATGCAACTGCAAATGGGCAGGGAAGTGGAACGTATCGTAAGGGGGAAGGGTGGTCTGAAATATGATCACGAGCTGTTATTGCTTTTCTGGGACACCCAATGGAGAACCACCCTTGCGAGCATCTGAAGCGCAATAACTTGAGATGATGGCCAAACAAAACGTACACGAAATGCCCCATTAAAGGGGGGCCCAGCTAAAGAAGCTGTTCGTCAAAGGGCGGAGGACAGCTGTGGCACGGGATCACAGAGTGTGGCACGAATGTGTTGCATATTTAATGTGGAAGGCTATAAACAAACAAGCCACACAATATGAAGCTGACATTTAAGTTTCCACAATTTGAAAATGTTAAACGTTTCTCGTTTGGTTTGAAAACTGAATAAATTAAATAAAGAAATTCGAATAAATTCTACAAAATTCGGAAATGGATGGCTTGGAAAATAAATAAATGCAAAATAAAGCCAAATTTGTTGGAGCTTGAAGTCTTCAAGGAGTAGTCAAATTCTTACTAGCCCAAGTTCTTGTAGTTTTTGGCATAAGTTTTGATAAAGGAACTAATGAAATCTAACTACTAGGCATCCGATTCTTAAAGGAGCTTTGACAATTGAATTTTTTATAACTAAAAATAAGATCTATTAAATTCTGAGTTAAGAGACAAACAAACTTATTTATTTAATTGACTAGAATTGAAAACTTTGGCAAAAAGAAAAAAGTTATTGGACTGGTTAAAACAGCAGATGACAAATGAAAACAGAGAATAAAACAGAAATAAAATGCAATTAAAAATGAAAATTGCCTCTGTTCTGAGCAAGTTATGAGAGTTGAGAGCTTGAGACAAACAGTTTCTGAGGAGCTGCAGCTAAATGCACTGCAAATTAAACAGATTCGAATGAAAAGGATAAATTAAAAACTGCTTTCAAAGTTGATTATTTAAATGAAATCAGTTTGTTTGAGTTTTCCCCTTGGCTACACTTGGCGTTCACTGAGTAAAATGTTGCACATAATTTCACTCCTGAAAGCAATTAAGTGCGCCCCCAAAATGTTGAGTGCGCCTTGTGTTGTGCAATGCGGCCGATGTCATGGCAACCCGGTGGCAAAGCTGCCCCTTTTTCGACTGGCCGCACTTAATCAACCCCAACTGGGCCCGGGCAGAGGTTAATCGCATTAGGAACTGGTCAGCGGTCCCACCTACCTCCAGCAGTGATACGAGTAGCATGAAGCAGGGCGGCGGCCAGCAGCGTGTTTGTCTGCCTGTCAATTGCGGCTGCTTCTCGGAGGCAGCCTCTGACTCTGCGCCGGCTGGCAGCATCTTGGAGCCGATCGGTGCGGGGCGCGGCTGTTGCTGCATCAGCTGGTCGAGGCAGACGCCCAGCACCAGGCCGCTGTCGCGGGCCTGCGACGGCGGCATCTGCAGCACTGTGGCAGCGAGCATTTCCGATTTGTTGCCGTTGCCGTTGCCGTTGCGGCGTCTATTTTTGGGGCCTTGTCTGCCTTGTGACGGTGCCCCACTTAGTGGCTGTCATGATGTTGTCGGCGCAGCGCAAGGAATTTTGTCTGGCCCCTGCAAAGAGACACAGAACACACAAAGAGAGTGAGTCACAGATGGAGACAGAGAGGCAGAGAGAGAGAGAGAGAGTATTTCGCTAGCCAAATTAGCTCAAGGTTGTCTGTCCAACAATTTGCACGTTCCTTTTGCCGCTGCGACAACTGCAGCGCAATTTCTCTTGAGTTGATTTGGCGCCAGCCAAGTCAATAAGCCAGCCGAACCCCACATCCCCGTCCATCCCAGACCCACCCCGTTAGTACCCGAAATGCCGCTTGTAATGTCACCAGACGGCAATAAAATAGTCGCAATTTATTTCTTATTTCTTGCCCAGACAGCGCATTTTTCGACAAACAAATTTATTTGTGCTGCACATCCAACTAGACACCCAACGCCCTATAGATGGCATATTATTTTGCAAAATCATCCTGCAAAGAGTTTGGCAAGACTAATAAATATCCTGGCAAAAAACATACATGGTCCTCTTGCAATAGCAATTACGGCATGCGATATTTCCTGAATATATATTAATATTCTTGACCAGAACGACAAGTTCGATTTAGCTATATTCATCTGTCTTTATAACTGTGTGAATGCGGATATTTCGAAAACTACAAAAGCTAGAGAAATATATTATTTCGTATTATTCTGGGGATGTATTCAAAGAGTGAATAAAGGATCTTGCGTATAAGAGATCTACATACTCAATTCTGTGTCTCAAGAGATTTTAAGCTCCAAAACATGTTTGAAAAGCAGGATTTGCTTATCGATTGCTTAAAATCGGGGCTGGCTATCGATTATTTGAGAAATATTTTCCTTTAATCACGTGATTTGGAAGGAATATTACTTACTCAGATGGATAGTTTTTACAATATTTTATGTGAAACATTTGAAGGACTAAAATATTCGGACTCTGTAACATAATCAACTCTCGTCTGTTGCTGCTGATTTCAAATATATATTTATTTATGGGATCTAAGTAGGCACGTTCTGCCTTTTACAAAACCAGTATGCCATTTCTTTGCGCTTTCAATGGATTTAAGCAATTGTGTCGAATCGGACAATTAGCTATGCATATGTGTTTAAAAACAATTGGCGCATATTAAACAAACCCGGAACTCTCTTCCAATTATTTGAAATTCATAGCTTTAAAATGTTACTCAACATGGGATTGATGCTGCTGGTCTGTCTTGCTCTGCCTGGTAAACGTAAGACTCTGCTGGACTGGGCTGACTTAAAGGATTAGATAAGTGATTTATTTTATCAATGATTAAAAATTTAATAAAATACATTTGCACGTTGTCTTTTAATTACGTGATCTGGAAAGAATTGGAAAGAAACGCCAAACATTATGTCTTACGTATTTGTTACTCGGATGAATCATATTCAATTTATCTGTAGCTAAGTAACATTTGGACACATTTTGTTTGCAGGACTAAATAATTCAGATTCCAAATTCAATTCGCGTCTGTTGATGCTGATCTAGAATATATTTATTTATGGGGTCTGAGTAGGCACGCTCTGCCTTTTACAAAATCTCAGTATTCCATTTTTCCCCGCTTTCAATGAATTCAATTCTGTCGGATCGAATGGGATGGATCCTGCTGGTTTTCGTCGTCGAAGAAGAAAAATATGCTGATTCTATATAGATATATTAAAGAAGTATCAAACTGCGATATTTGCTAGCTTTCTGTAAATTGAGTGAAGGGTAAAATGTTTAAAAATATTTAAGTGATATGTTATACGTTTATTCTGAGAGCAGTTAAACATTTAGTTTAATAGTATACACATATATATTCCAATTAATTTGTTACGCTACAAATTTATGTAATTGCTTATCAACGGATATTAATTAGTTTCGCCCAAGAAAAGTTGTGTAACAGGCGGAAAGGTGCCTATAAAAGCAACCGGGATCCATTATTTTGATTCAATCGAAATCAACTATTCAAAAAGTTTATCAACGTGTGCTGGATCTTGGTTATCTGTGCTGCTCTGCCAATGGGGCGTGGCTTTGTGAGTGGTCCCATGCAAATGGATTAAAGAAATGATTTTTCTTATCATTCAAATACAATTTTGATGAATAACATTTGGTGTATTATTATTATGTATTAGATGGGAAATTAAAGTTTATATTCCGCAGAAAGAAGCAAACTAAGTAAAAGCTGTTGTTGTTTTGTGAATTTCATTTGTGTCGCAGCTCGTTTCAGTCGGGCATTTCGTAACTACATTGTAAGCGTGGTCCTGGCCAAGTTGGTTTATAGTTGGCCAGTGCCAGTTTTAGTGTCCTGGGCCCCATTTGGCCATGGCGTGTTGCTTTGGCAGTTGCCCTTGGTAATGAGTTTTAATGGTGATTACCTTTTGCCAAATACACACAAGGCAGCTGCGCCAGCGGGGCGTGTGGCAGGGTCAGGGGGCAGCCACATGTCGAACGGTCCGGCCAACTGACGGCCGGCCAGGACACACTTTTGTTGCAAACGAGTTTTTGCGAACGGAAATGCTGCGTCTCCCATCTTCGATCCTGTATCGGGATGCAGTGCCGCAAAACCGGCTGACCATGGCGCTGGCAGGGGCGCGGGGCTTGTTGTTTTGCCCATTTGGTGTATACACAAAAATCGAGCGCACGCCAAAACTGTACAAATATCGACAGGTGTGGGCATGTCCTTAATGTCCGTAAGCATTTCAGCTTTTGTTGTGCTGTGTTGCTATTGCTGTCGGTTGTGTTGTTTTCTTTTTGCCGTTTGGCCTTCGCACGCAAGTTATGCGCTGTTGTGCCCATTCAGGACACGCACATATCCTTGAACCAGCTGAGAAACGTGAGCTCTGGCTGCGAATCGAAAATCGTGAATCGAGCCAAGTATCGGAACCTTCGAGCGCACATGTGTGTATAATATATGCATATGTATGTATGAGTGGATTATGCAAGCATTCGGACTCGCTAGGCGACCTCCTTAAGACAGGACACTGCCACTCCCCGCTCTCCGCTCCGCTCCGCCCAGCCAAGCCGTATCCCAATCCCACTTCAACTTCCATATGCCCCACACCAAGCACTTGATTCGGCTTTGAGTTGGCATTTGTATTTGTGTTTGCTCTGGCAAATATTTAATTTGCATAATGTTGGTCATTTGTATGTGTGTGGTGATGTGTGTGTGTGTGCGGGATGTGTGTGTGTGCGTTGTGTATTTGCATTATTTGCATTTGTGTTTATCAAATATGCGTGCTATATTTTTTTGCTCCATTGCATTTATTGATTCATTGATAAACGAATAAAATGATTAAAAAAGGAAATACGAGAGTTCTCAATAAATAGATTTAATAGATAGTTTATTAAACCGATTACCGCTCATTAATTATTTATGTCATGTAATAAACTTGTAAATTTCACATAATTAAATAATTCAATTAATTAGTCAATTAATAAATAAACAAGAGTATTCATTTTAAATCAAATTCGTAAAAAAGTAACTTAATGAATTTAAAGCAACTTCTGCAGATAAATCTCATTAGTTGGGAGCTTTTGCAAGAACTTAGTCAAGGGCTCTTACAACCCACTTTTCCCATTTTACCGCCTAACTTTGTATTCTAATTGCGAATTTAAACCTTAAACAGCTTTCACTTAAATTTCTATGTTTAGCTTAACAGCTGCTTATTAACATTTGCAAGACTGTTAAGTTCTTTCTTTTAAGATCCGCCTTAAGTGTTTTCAAATTCCCAAGCTGCAGACATGTGTGTGCTTCTGTATTGTTCGCCATCGCAGGATAAGTTTTTGCAACTTGGCAAATAAGTAAGTTGGCAAGTGAAATGTGCTAAGTTAAATTTTAATTACGGGCGCCGCGAGGCGAGTCAAGCAAAGGGAGGGCAAATTGTGAGAGTGAGTAAGAGAAATGTGCATAATAATTATGACTGGGCTTAAATGTTAGTTGTGAGAAACTTGTGAAAAGTGAAAAAGCAAGATACAAGTTAAAGAAAATAATAAATAAATAAAAGTAAGTTGGTAGCACTCGACGCCAGCGCGGCCTTGGCTGAGTGGGTGGGTGGGTGTTGGAGTGAAAGAACTAAGGCGACTGCAAAATATGCACATAGAAAGTGGCATTAACAACAACAACAACGCGATAAACATTAACAACAATGACGGGAAAATTGTTTAAAAAACTATAATTGAAAAGAGAGGGACGAAAAGAAAAACATATGTGAGAGGGCCGCGCCGAGAATATGTAGATGGTAGCTGGTCGTAGCCTACGTTGTGCCCGCTGGGAGTTTTCACTTTTAATAGGCACACATACAGCAATAACATTAACATTAACTATAACATTAACATTAACATTAAATTTGCAAGTTATTTTTTAGCGCGCGCAATTAAAACGAAGTTGGGCAATGTTAGGGTAAAGTTATGAAAGAAATACGGCAAACTGTTTGCGGAGGGAGCGCACATTGGGCACTGTGGCAAGGGGATGAGCTGACTGACTGTGCACTTCGCTTAACAAAGAAAGTCGCCAGAGACAGGCTGACGAGGGAAGGGGGGTGGTCCCAGCGCCCAAAGTCGTCGCTCATTTCACAATCAAATTCCGGCAATTGAAACGAATGCGATTAAAAGCCGCACGTCATGCGAGAGGGAAACAAGTGCTCAGCTGATGGGAGCGGGAGAGGAGAGCAGAGCTCAGGAGAGGTGGGCAGACGGAGATGGAGTGCTGTGTGGAGAGGCGAGCGGGGACTGGCGCAAATGGAGCATCGCGATAGGCCGGCTCCATCAGCCTGAAAGGGGGGGCAAATGGGGGGCACAATTGCAGCGGCCCACGCGACTCTTGCCAAGAGTTCATTTCCATTTGGGTTGCATGCTACGCCAACGTCTCGCGGCGTGTAGAGAGAGTGAGTGCACAGGGGAGTGGTGGGGAGGGGAGGGGAGGGGAAGTCAAACTCAATCTCTACATTTGCCTTTGCTTTCAATTTAATTGTAATTTCTTTTGTGTTTATTGCGTTTGCCTTCTGCTGCTTACATTTTAATTTCATTAACTTGTGTTTACTCTGTGTGAAACACTTGCCCAGCCACAAGCTCTGCAAAGGCCCCCCCTCCCCCCTCTCCCTTTGTCCAATTTTTTGACATAAAACTTAACCTACAAGCAACCGCTTGTAACTCGTATCTTGTATCTGTGCCAGCGATTTCAACAAAAGCTGCTCTCTTTCTTGATGAACCCAAGATACAGCTGAACGAAACCAGATGCTCGTGCACACTTCTAAATTGGGCAAGCGCATGGTCCAGAAATGAGCCATAACAATATTTATAGCCTGAGCCTTGGGAATAAGGTTTTCCTGAATATTGCCAGCGACAACTCTAGCTTAAAAAGATTTGCCAAGCCAAGGATCAAATCCGAACTTTATGTTCAAATTGTTGTTTGTATCTAAAAGCAAAGCGAATTCCCGAAAAAAAAGTTTCCCATACCGGGAATCGAACCCGGGCCTTCCGGGTGAGAGCCGGATATCCTAACCACTAGACAATATGGGACTTGGGGCGCACGCCGTAAAATAAGTAAGATCAAAAGATTTGAAAATCCTAAATAAGTGAATAATAAGAACTGAAATTATTGAGCGCAAGCTTTGTTAGTTGTTTTATAGAAAGCATAAAACTGCGCACAAAAAGCGCAGCAAGAACTCAGTTAAGTCAGAGAATACACGTATTTATGCTGAATATTTCTACGACTTCGCGTCAATGCACAAATCAGTTAGCGTCCGACCAGAAGGCAGTTGTCAGACGTAATAACTGGCAGTCAGAGGGCCACATGGAAATGCAGGTGGAGGTCGAGGTAAAGGCAGCAGCAACAACAACAACAACAACACTGACAACGACATCGACACCTGACCACGCGACGCTGATTGCTGTTGTTGGTTGGTTGGTTGGTTTGTTGGCGGGTTGGTTAGTTGGCGTTACCTAAACAAGTGCAGCGCGTATCCATGTTTATTTTACGGTTCAACGATTATTGCCAGTTATTGTCTAATGGCAACGCAAAGGGGGACAACACAGCGTCGACCAGGCGGACAGGCGGACAGCGAGCGGGGCAACTGACTGTCAGGCAACCAGCCAAAGTGGCCAACAGGGTAAAAAGCAAAGAAAAATCGCCAAAAGCAGCGGACAGAGAGGGAGGCAGAGGCAGAGGCAGAAGCAGAGGCACTTGGTCAGAGGAACAGACCAGCAAACAGACCAGCTAGGTGTTGCTAGATTCGTGATTGTTGTTGTTGCTGTTGATGTCGTTGTTTTTGTTGCAACCACCGCATTGCTGAGTGTATTTGTGTTGGCTGTTGTTGTGGCACTCTCTGCACTCGCTATCAATATTTCAAACACGTTCCAAAAGTTTTGCCTTTTTCAGGCAGCCAGGCGACACAGAGGGAGGAGTAGCTGTCGCTGCCAACAAAAACGGAAGTTCACACGGAAATATATAGGAAAATATAAAACGAAATGAGAAAACGACACCCAACAAAAAAAAAAACAAAATATATATAAAAACAGACAAACATTATGTTTATAGCAACAACAACAAATATGAAAATGAATCACGCAAAGCCGCAGCAGCTAGATATCGAGGGGGAGGTGAGGTAGCCGTGGGCACAAACAGCCGCTGCAGGGGAAAAGCAAGTAAAACTATTGGCTGAATTAAAAACTAAACATTTGATTTTACTATATAAATCGATGGCAGCACAAAATATGTGAATATGACGAAAACGTCCGAACAGCTAGCTAGCAAATCAAAAGAATTTACA